TTATGTGTGATTCAAGCGTGCAATCCTGAAGCTACTTGAACCAGATAGAAGAACCAGTTCCAAGCGTCTGTCTTTTTATTCTAGTTCAATTGTAGTAGGTATTTTAATATTGTACCTTTCAGCTTTATCTAGAAGTAATTGTATTAGGTACTTAGAATTTTCAAGTTAGAGTTAACTTGAAGTTGTCGCAACAGTTGAGGTCGTGTGCTACAACGGGATTAGAGTTAATCCTAGGTTTACAAAAGAGTTTTGTAAATGCGGTGTTTGGCACAGTGATTTTAGTGGAAAGTTTGGGAAAATCCTATTGGAAGGTAGGTCGTGGTTTTTTCACCTTTTGAATCAGGTGTTTTCCACGTAAAATCTCTGTGTTCTTTAATTTCTATATTTATTATTCTGCAACAGTAGTAGTTGGAACACATAGAAGAACCAGGTCCTTCTATAATCAGGTTAAACGAAAAATTGGGCACCACACAAATCATCCCCCCCCCTCTTGTGTGGTATCACAGTCCAAAATAGAATGACATGGAGATAACCAATCCATACCCAATATCATATCGAAATAAACCATACTAAGCAGAAAGAGATCAACTCTGGTCTCTAATCCCCTAATAGTTACTACACACGACCGATACACACGGTCCATAATAATAGTATCACCCCACCGGCGTAGATACATGAATAGATGAAACTAAAGACTCACGGGGCATGTCCAGATAATGAGCAAAATACGATGATACATATGAATAGGTGGAACCAGGGTCAAATAATACAGAAGCATCTCGGTGACATACTGAGACAATACCTGTGATCACTGTGTCTGAAGCAATAGCATCTGGTCTGGCAGGGAGTGCATAAAAATGGGCCTGACCGCTACCTGATCGTCCGCTCCCTCTAGGGCGACACCTAGCTGACTGAGCTCCACCCCAAGCTGGCTGGGCGGGTGGTGAAGTAACTGGTACCGAAATCGAAGGCTGACTCCTCTGCTGAACTGAACCTCTTAAGAGGCGGGGACAGTGCCTCTTGCTATGACCCAGATCTCCACACTCAAAGCTACTTCTCCCTGCAAATGGTGGTGGGGAATGAAGGGAGCCCCGAGTCAAAAATCAAAATTGACTCAAAAATCAAGTGATGACCCCTTTTGGGTCATCACACCTTCAACTCAAACTAGTAGCAAGAACATTGATGAACTTTAAATTTACTTGCAAAAAAGCAAACAGAGCCTCGCACAAAGAACTTTTCACCATTGGTATGGTGGAATGAAAAATAAAAAGCATTTCCTGTTCTTTCAACGATGGCTCGAGACATGGTAGATATGTCAGTTTCAATCATTGCATCAAAGAGCGCATTTGTCAAGCAAGATAACAACTATGAGACACCTGCCATTCATTGGGAAGCAATGCTTTGGAAGTTTTAGTATGTTTCAGAGATTGGACTAGATCGGAGCAAAGAAATCAAGGACGTGAAGATGTTGATAAACCAGAAGATGAGGAACTTGGAAATATACTAACAAATGGTAATCCATTTGAATTCAATACTCCAGAAGATGGCCAAGAAATTTATATTGATTATAAAGAACTTACTAGAGCAATGTCAAACCTTTGACGTTTGAAGATTATATTTAATAATTCAAATTTGAATTTACTCTTTTTTCTTTAACTTAGTTGTTGTAAAATGTAAACTTTAATTTGCAAGTTTAAATTAAAAAAATTGCAAATTATAAGTTATATTTTTTTATGTTCATTGTATTCTCTTAAATTCATAATGAAATATTCAAATATAAGGCTTTTAAAGCCTTTGAAGTTTTTATTCAAAATTTCCAATATAAGGCTGTTAAAGCCTTTGAAATTTATTCGAACATTCTTTTTATACGTTAATTTTTAGTGTTTTACATTTTTACTTTATTCTAATATAAATTACGATTGTTACAAAAAATACCAATAAATAAATAATAAATAAAACCGGCCCGGCCCGGAGCCATTCCGTTCAATTTAGCATCGACTACGTTCGGAATCGGTAAACCCAATAAATTGTAACTGGTAATTATCGCACCGGTACCGAAATCGACTGGTTCCCTTTTCCTCTAGTCCGGACCGGCTCGGCCCCTTAACACCCATACTTTTAATTTCATATAGAGGTTCTGCACTCATCAAATTGAACATCTAACTTACTAGATGATAACCTAATTTAGTACCTAAAACTAATGTAATTAATATGATGCCTGCACCACTAGCTACTCAGCTCATAGATGAACAACACGATCAAACCTTATTTGCCGTATTCCTATTTTTGTTGTATAAAAATGAAAGGGAAATTTTAGGGAAGAAAGAAAATGTTGCGTTCAAATATATACCATGAATGAGACAGAAAAACGCTACTTTTAATATATATATATACTGTAACTTTGGGACAATTAAATTTTTCAATGTGCATCTTATTGTTATTGATTTAAAGATGAGAATACGAAATTTTTACACCTTTGGCGAAAAATAATGTTACAATACAAAAGAATTCCTTTGAGACTGCGAATGATATTACATCCAACGAGACTCTGTACAGTGATCATCGGTATTCCTAGCAAGAAGTGTTGATACCTTACTTACTGCAAGACCAATGTACGATCGGAGACAGAGCCATGACATGAAGTTTATGGATTCAAAATTCTAATCATTTTAAGTTATTGGATTCTAAATTAATAATTTATGTATAATTCAATGAACTTTTAAGATAAATACAGGACTTGAATCAAAGTTACTAGGCTCGGCTAAACTTGCAACCAAAGGCTAGCTTCGCCACTGTGTACGATGTCTACTTGCACGTTAGTCGGGACAAAATATTGTAAGTTTAACTAACTTACACTGATCAATTTTAAATGTAGAATCAATTTTTACATAATCGGCTCATATATTTTACCAACTTATAGAGAAAGTAATTAATGATTTGGTGGTAATAATGTTAGAGATAGGTGTTTCACACATCTTGTCTTCCTATAATTGTGAGACAAAACATTGGCTTCTGTATAAACTCACTTTGTACATTAGCGATTGATAGTGAATAAAATATATCATTGCTTGCTCCAATTTACACCAGTTTCTCTCATGAAATCCGACCTTAGCCTTGATCAATTCTAAATTAAAAATACCATTTGACATTAAAAACTAGAGCATCCCATTCAAGAAGGCAGAAGCAGAATTTTCACCGAGGAAATTCAAAAAATAAGAAAAGTAAACACCAAAGCAGCTAAGAGGATTCAACATCTAATGTATATATATGAAGAAAAAAATCAACCTTATATACAAAGTGTAATTTTCGGGGAAGGGGATTCGGTTGAATCCCCTTCAGCCCACCTAGCTCCGCCCCCGGTTATTCAATAGCGTAGCCACATAAAGTTAAGGGTGTTCAGTTGAATACCCTTTATCGGAAAATTACATTAAGTATATATAAAATTATATTATGTATATAAGTTAAAATTATTTTTTATAGATATATATTAAATTTTGAACACTCTTTGTAAAATTTTTAGCTTCGCCATTAAGAGGATTTTAGTTATATCTTAATATATTTTGTTTATAACTGATCAAGCTTATCAAATATAAATTGAATAGGACTTTGAGTTTATGGTGGACTTTAGGGCCCCGGTTGAAGAATTATCTGGTGATTTATAAACTCCAACTCTTGTGACCATTTTTTCTACCAGGTATTGCACTTTTATACAACAATTAAAAATTGGGTGTAATTCTATAAATATGTACGCAGATCTTACCCCTATTTTGAGAAGATAAAAAAGCTATTCCGATAAGCAATGTCATACCCCTTTTCTACCCCCCCCCGAAAGAAATGTGTATAGATTTGTGGGTTAACGAGTTTTTCCAATTAAAGTGACAATTTTGAAATAGGGATTATTGTGTTTACAGAGTCGCCACTTGAATTTGATTTTTGGGTGTTCCAAGTCACCTTTTATTTGAATCTCTATTCAAAGGAAGATTTGACTCTTTTATATCGGTCCGCCAAAACAAAGTTCGGATAAGGAATTCTGTTGACCAGAGAGGTGTAAGGCATTCCCCGAGTCCCGTGGTTCTAGCACGGTCGCTTTATCGACTTAAAACATGGCTTGAATTAATTTTGGACAAACCATGATTTATATGATTTTCATGTTTTACCTATCCGCTTCTATTTTTTGATTATTAGAATTATAAAAAAATGATTTGGATAAATTACGTCGTCATAACCACGCTACGCAAGCAAATGTGTGATCGAATAATAAAATTAATTAACTTATCATAATTGCGCCTCGCAAGCGAATCCGAAATCATGAGTTCATGACAATCAATTATTTGTAGTACTTTTGAGAAATTACTACATTTGATAAAATTGATTCTTAAAAATGATTAAAAGTCAACTATCGCGCTACGTAAGTGAATTCGCGATTTTAACAAAGGATTAATTAAATAAAAAATTAACTAAAACTAATGGGCATGGTATGAGATTATTAAATTAATTTATTAAATGTTAAACATCACGCTACGCAAGCGATTCCGTGAAGTTAAAGTGTGCCTACACCTAGCGATTAAAACGGATCATTTCCTGGGAGCAAAGCAAGTCTTTGGTAGTTGAGAAAACTTATTTCCTAAGTACTGAATTTTTGAGAAATTTCTTTAAGTTTCCGAGCTAAGTAGATATTACTTTTAAAAGTTTTAATTAATGACTTGCGCCAAAGAAACATTCGCTACAAAATGCTCCTAAAATTTAGAACTTTAGCTAGCAAAAGGACGTTGAAATAGAGACTCAAACACGAAATTCACTTTTTTGTATCTTTATGAAACAATATTTCGATTAATTTAAAACATCAACCCAAAAAAAAGAAAACACTTTTATTTTGCTAGATGTATGACCGTGGATTCCTAATTCTTGAAATTCGTAACATTAATCTACATACCATCTCATTAAAGCTACTTTTACATGGAAAAAAAACCTTTTCAATATGAATAAAGTTGGGGAACTAATTTAGCTCAACAACATGTTGAGATTAAAATAAATACATTCTAACAACTACACCATAGATGTCATTTGTCATGTAACCACAAAGAAAAACTAATCGGCACCTAAAATACTTAGTCCTTGCTTAATACCAAAGGAAGAAAAGTAAGTCAACATGTTGTTTTATCATGAAAATACCTTAACATTCAACAGTAGAATTTATAACAATAAAACAGAAAACATAGAAACTTAATGCATCTACTAAGACAAGTTCTTTCATAAAACGTTAATTTTTAATAAGAATATAGAGAGTTAGAGAATGAGAATACAAACTAACCTTTAGAGCATAAACTCCCTTTTTTTTTTCACTAATGCAATGAAACAAACAACAAACTAAAAGCTTCAGATAGCTCCAAACCAGCAGTCACAACAGTAAATCAGTAGCCCCGGTAACTCGAAACCAAGGAATCCCAGTAGAAAACAGCAAAACAAAATCCCAGAAACTAATGCTTCAAACTAAAAGAAGTGACTTCTTCCTCTTTTTATTGCTCTTTCCTGAAGAAAAAAAAGCTGCTGAAATTTTTATCTTTTTCCCTCTTTTTTCTGATGTCTCCCCTTCTTAAAGTGAAAGAAAGACCCTCCCTTTATAGAAGAGGGCAGCCTTGAAAGTGATTCAAAGTTGCACCAAAAATCGATCCAAAATCATGATAAAGGACTATCCTTTTCACTAAAATTAGACACAAGGGTACTTGTACCTCAAACCTACTCCAAATAGTAAAAGGCAACAAACATGTACCTTACACTCAAGTATTTAGCTTTTATCAACACATGACTGAAATTCAAGCAAAAACACTCATACTCAAACCAACTATGAAAATGCAAAGCTAGGACATGAATTCAATTGTAATTGAACTAAGTACCCGAACGAACTAAACTAAAACTAATCGATTAATGAGAACTAACATTGGGCGATTGAAATAAGGAAACGCTGCCCAAAAATACAACTTAAACGAACATTGATAAGCTATCGAACAACGATTAATAGCAATCCTAAACAAACGACTAAGTACCTGATTCGAAAATATTAAGCAACGACCAACATTAAAGAATATTAATGAAAGTAAACACGAACTAATGATCACGGATTAACAATCAATTGAAAACAGAAAATTAAACTAAAACCTAAACTGAAATTACGAAAAAAAGGGTAAAAGATTAGGGTGCGAGCTTATACCAAACTCCGGGACATTCGACGAATCGAGCAATGAGACGATGCCCTGGATGCCAAGTGGTGGCTGTCCGACCCCGAGGCGCATGTTTCTTTTTGGCAGACGATAAACTAATAGATTCCGGCATCTTGCCAAAAGGAAACAAGTGCCTTTGGTCGAAAAAGAAATAAGAAAGATGGAGAAGCAGCAGCGGCGGGCAGTGGGGGTTACCGGAGTTTCGGGTTAAGACCAATGCCAAATGATAGCCCTTGTCTAGCTCTTTACGTCTATGTATGTGTTGGGCGAAGGGGATGACTCAATCCTCACGAACTTGAGGAAAGATGGAAGGCTAGGGTTTCGGTTTTTGTGAGATTTATGGATTTTGATAGGGAGTTTGAGTATTTGGGGTCTGCATATGAAAAGGGGGAAGTGAGGGGAAGAAGATATGTAATTTTGAGGTGATTTGGAGCCACCACTGCGGCGGCGGGCGGCAGCAGTGACGGTGGAGATGGGTGGTGCGGCGGCCAAAGGGGAAAGGAAAGGGGCTCTAGGGCTTGGTTGAAGTAAAAATGAAGGTCAAAATATGATTTTAGGGGCCTTATATACCTTTGAGATATTAAATAAGGGCCATTGGATCAGAGTATGATGAAGGGCTGAGATTCGGTCTTAGTTTCATTAAACAAGGTGACGTAGTTTCACCTTGAAACTACGTCGTTTTGAATCTTTTCCTGGCAGCCACTCAATTAAACATGATATTACACTCTTAGCCACCTGATCATTTTAATTTTAGCCCATTTTTCCTTAATCCTACTTATTAAACTAATTTTACACAAATAAATTAATTAAACAACTTATTTAAATAACAATTAACTAGATTAATTCACCAATTGAGTAGTTAGTTAATTCCTAAAATATATAAATGAAGAATAACTAATTTTTTTTGTTGGTATTTTTATGATAGGAAATATACAATTAAAGACACAAAAATTAAGAAAAAACAATAAATTCACAAAATACTAATGTTAAAATAGTGCAAAAATTAGGTGTTCACAAGCAAGACTATGTAGTTTTATGTGTAAATAAACTTCTACGTTAAGAGAAAGTGTTCAATATTTATGAAATAAAAAATAAAAATAAATAAATAAGCCATAGACGGAACCAGTCAACAGGGCACTTCACCAATATCGTTTTTTTTTTTTTTTGTCATTTCTTCATGGATATTCATTTTTCCTAGTTACGCCTTATGTAACATGGTTATACATTTAACTAGCAGACTGTCATTATGAGTATATGTATGATACTGACTTGCTTTTTAATCTTCATGATTTCTCTTTTTTCTTTAATTAAAATTTTAAAAAAATAGAGTTGAGATCTCATAGAGTGAACAACGATGGAAAAAATCCAAGAAATTAGCAGACACCTATGCCTCTCAAATGTACAAAAGTAGGGAGTAGCTGCAAATATTCAATTACTTCTCTGAGTATATCAGTTTTGACAATACAATAGAAGTAAATACAAGTCATTAATGATTCCACCGAAAATCGTACAATCTTCAACCATAAAACTTTATTACTGCATTAAACAAATATCACCTAAGATTTTTTTGAAATTGGTTTCCTGCGCCAGATATATATATCGATGCTAAATAGAACTATTTCCTTAAATACACCACTACTGCTGTTATAAACTTTGCTACTTTTTTTTTCTTTTTCTTGGGACTGGTACATGGACATTTCAAAGTTGGATTTTTCTAGATTGATTTGCCGAGATGATAGTGAGGCACAGGTAGAAAATAACCCCAAAATAACCGAATATAATACTCTTTATAACTTTTTGACAAAATTTGGGAACAGAATCACAAATTGGCATCCACCCTGACTGATTTTCTCCATATTTTCCCACAAATCCAATTGTAGTTGCTGCTGCAGTTCCAGCCAGCAATAATGCCGTCAAAATCTGTCATCACCAAACACACTTCAAATTTTATATGAATATTATGTTTCATATTTTATGAATCGGGCATGGACAATAAAAATTCATATAGCTAATCTCAACTTACTTGAGCGCAAAATTTGGTATACTAATACTATGTTTGGATGTGGATGGCGTGAATAAGATAGGTAAAGTCCAATGCTTATGGTCCCAAAATAATAAAGTGATAACAGTGGGGGAAAATTAATATTGCCCCTTTTATGTCAACATTCTTCAAGTATGCATTTCTCCCGTATCTTGTTATTATTAGGAGATTTTTCTAAAAAACGAAAGTTGACCATAACATCTAGAAAAATGTATAATAATGATGTGTTAGATGTAAGTCACATAAGGAATAAAGTGTGAACTTAGAGACTAATAACGTGTTATATCTATTACGTAAAGCTACAACTTGTTAATATATGGAAATGTTAGATCCTAAGGATAGGGAAGAAAGGTACGTTCTCCCGACTTCCGCAACTCTATACTAAATTAAGAGAAAAAATCATTTTTCTCCTGATTTATCATTATCATTAACTACTTATTCCCCAAATAAGTTTTCAAGGCGTTGGAATACTATCACTATTATGGATGAAATTGTAAAATATACACTTCATTTATTTTTTCTTAAAGAGAATGCAAAATTAAAAGTGGACAAATAAAAATGAACGGAATGATTATATCTTTCCATCTCAATAAATTCCAATCCAAAAAAAAAAATTACTGAAATTTTGTAAATGAACAAACACCTTGAATAGTACACGCAAGAAGATGCGGTTATAGGAGTTAAACTTGATGAATTCGATTTTTAAGGTGCTTAGATTACTTATTGCATGTTCAAAATTATAGCTCCAAAATTTGATATTTTAGTGATTTCTTTTTTCAAATGTATACCTATATTTCGTATTTTGAAAATATTTCGTTAGGGATAAAAGGAAATTCAAGATTCCAAAATTGCCTCATAAAAATAAGTGACTTATCAATATTCAATATTGAAATGATTACTGATAAGGACTAAAAAAAAAAAAGAGTACGTACCATATCATGGAGGAACACGTAAAAATAGTTCTTTGGGTGAAGACCCTTACGACAAAAGATGGAAACAAGAAACAGTAACAAAATAGAGAAGGCACATCCAATAACATTTGCATAGGCAAAGAACCTGCAGATATATTAGATACATAAACAAGAGCCTCACTACCATTAAAATATTAGGACTAATTAAAATAAAGCAAAAGATTTAAGTAATTAAAGATTTGTTTCATTTACTTAAGAGCTGAAGAATAGCTATAGCGAGCATCCATCTCAGTATTAAAAACATGGACAGTCTCCTTGCTGGTAAACATTGAGCAAGCAGCAGCCAATGTAAATGCAGCAGCCAAAATCCTCAACAAAATCTGGGTTCTAATGAAGCATTTGTCAGATATCAGAGGTGGGTTTTCTATAGTTTTGGTTCCAAAGCTATTCATCTTTGAGATCTCCTTTTGAGTCTGCTCCTACTGAAAATGCAAAAGAAGAAGAAGAAGAAAATGAGCAAATATGGGGAATTGTAGTGGAATAGTAGATGTTGGTTGTGGTATTTATTTATAGAGGGAGAAGAGCGGGGAGGGTCGTTTTAAGTAAATGGATCGTTACAAGACCGAGAAAAGCAGCTACTCAAATTTGTCATTATATTTTATTCAAACATTCACTTAGGCTAGTTTTGGCACTGGGGATAAGGATTAACTAATCCCGGCACTAGATTTAAAAATCATGTTTGGTTGGTAGAAAAATACGGTATAATTAATTTCGGGATTGTTATTCCGAAATTGTAGTATTTTGTATCCCTGTGTGAGAGTAAGGTAACTAATCTCGGGATAACTTATTTCCAATCAAACAACCCCAAGGTATATTCAATTGAAAATTTGAACATATGATAAAATGTTCCTATTAGACAATTTCAAACACAAATTTTGAAAAAGCTTCTGCACGCGCTCAGTACATGGATAAGTTAATTACTTAAAATATGACACCTCTTTATATATATATATATATNCAAAAAGAATTAATAATAAAACAAGAAATTTACAGTTAATAGAGGATTTTCAAGAAACTTTAATAAACGTAGACGAATATATGTCAGATAATGAAAGCATATACTCTATAGTAAGTGTAGATATAGAAGAAAAAACTCAAATAGATACCTCAGAATCAGAAGAAGAAGAAGAATTAATAAATGAGATAGGATTAGAAAAATTAGATTTAGAAGAAATACAAGCAAATACTTTTGTAAACATATCGGAAGAATGTACCCATAATTTTGAAAGGAATAAAGGATTAAATAGTAATCAGTATTTTATATGCAAATGGTACCCTAGTAAAGATAAAAGGACTAAATATAAATTATGCTATGTAAAAGGATGTATTTCATGTATAGAAAAGGAATTTGAAACAAAATAAATAAAGAAGAAAAATACCAAGAGATAAATAATTTTACTATGAATTTGAGAATAATAACATTGGAAATCAGAATAAATTAATTAGAAAAAAGAATACAAAAAATGAAAAAGGGAAAACAGAAATAGAAGAGAGCAGAGAAAATATAACAGGAGAAGATGAAGAACTAATAAGTATAGAAAACTATGACACGCTGATATGTAATGAAGATAAAAGATTAAGTACAATAAAAAATTTAGCAAGAATCAAAATAAAAGATTACGAAATAGAAACGTTAGCTTTAGTAGATTCCGAATGTACAAGATGTATAATAAATAAAAAGATAGTCCCACCAAATTTAAGCAAAACTTTAGATATGCCAGTTGCGGCTTGGGGGCATTCCGAGAATGTTGAAGATGGGGTTGGATATAAAATATATCCAAAAATAATATAAAATCCTATATATATATACACATATATATATTAGCCTTTGTTACGATAAACAAAAATAAAAAAGAACCCAATCAATTGAAAATAAACTTCCTCCTAGTTAAACAAAAGACCGCTCCGTTAAAAGAAGAAAACCAATATCCATTTTCTCAAAATCTCCCCAACAGGTATCTAATAGGAATACTTTATTATAAGTCTTGGTGATCAATTGAAACAGTCCTTAGTTTGAGTGTCTAGGTAGAATATATTGACAAATTTAAAGGGATGTCGATATATTTTGCCTTAAATTATTTACACCATCGAATTACATTTATCCTTTGTAACGGGTTACCTTTTAGTGTAAAAAGTTACTAATACTGATGGTTTATATTACTTAAACATTTTGAAAATTACCTTAGATTCTTTTTTTCTTTTTTTGGAAGGTTCAAGAACAAATAAGAGACCCTTTGGCGCAACTGGTTGAAAATGGATGGTAAACATGTCGTATTGGAAAGTATTTTAAGTGTTGAAATTAATTTATAAATAAGTAATTATGTATTTTGATAAAACATATTCAAACTAATAAGAAATAGTAAATATATTCCGATCTGAAAAAGAAGGTATTGATAAGCACTTTTACATTAAAATAACAAAAATACCCTTATATTATAAATATATTATATTATGGATGTTCATTTAGTACTCCGTTGTAAATAAGCTTCCTGAAGAAGCTTATTCATATG